GAGTTGTTATTGAGCGGAACTACACCATTCCTTTGATTTGAAAATTTAGTGTTATGCTCGCTTATACAACTCACTCGCCGTTTTCCAACAACATTGGTGTTTCAGGCTGCCGTCCTGGTATTGTTCTCCGCAACCAAGCTCGTTCCCTGAGTATGGCATTCCGTGGTACGAGAGGAGGTCTTGTTTTTAAGCAGTCTGCTCACTTCAACGATAATTGTCATTGTTTGCTTATTCAGGACCAAGCACTAGTAATACGTATGATGGTAGTTATCTTGAACGTCACAATGACAGCCTAGTTGATGAGTTGTCGACTAAGGTTGCGGCCTTAAAAAAGGTTAGTGAAACTTAGATTATATCGCATTTCTCTCCTTCAAACTTTCTGGCTTTCTTATCCAGCAACTGTCAGAGTATTCTAGTACTGCCCATTTTTTCCTCCTGAAATCGGCTAAACCTCTCACTGCGCTTATAAACGGTCTCATTTAATAAGAGGGGAGGGGGAAGGCATGTACTGCGACGGTTCAAATCGCTTGAAGTCATCCAATTTCTGCAGAGGAAATAAACTTTAAAGTGGGAGCGAAATCCGCGATTCCCTCCTCAGCAAATTTGGAGTTTCTGTAGTCGGCAGCAACTGTCGTACCACATGCCCCTCTCCCCGCCCCTCCTCACAGGATGAGACCTCTAACAAATTTTTTCATATCAGTGTTCAGAAATCAGTTTTTATTACCAATATCAATAATTTATTACGAATATGGCAATCCAAAAAGTATGGGCGGTTCGAAAATGACCGTCTTCAACCTTCACTCAGTTCCCAGATGTTGTTTCGAACGCTTCATGTGCTGCACGGTAGTGCAGATCATCCATTTTGTCCCAGGGCTCTAAAAGCGCTGGTCACGGAGAGTGTGAATTTTAGGCTTGAATGTAAGGTTAGATAACCTGGATTCGTGCGGTGCGAACGAAGTAGTGACCTTTACTGTGCGTGAAAGACAAGCCGGAACTTATAAGGTTTATTGAAATGTTGAAAATAATGAACAGAATGTTTGGAAAGATCACTGGAATCGGAGACGCGGAGGCGAGTCGTAGTTGGCAAACTCGGGCGACCACCGAATACGGGACCACAGTCGGGTGCACGGCGCGAACTATTCCTGACACAAGCCACAAAGGCTTCCTACGTTGAGCCACTGAGGCTCTTTCAACTCACTGCCACTAAGGCTTCTTCCAACCAGCCACTTAGGCTCCTTATAATCTGCCACTTAGGCTCAATTCCTTCAGCCACTAAGGCTATCTCTCGCTCTCCTCTATCGAGCTTTGGCCCTCCTTCTTACGGGCCCCTGCGGCTCCTAACCGCACTTACCACTCTGGCTCCTGAACCCCTTTTATAGGTGCATTCCCGCCCGAACCGTTTCCCTCTGGCAAGGTGGTCTCCCATGACCCCGCGCGATCGACAACCACAGCCTGCTCCTCGACCTACCGTGCTCAAACCAGCTGATCATAGCTGGCGTCTCAAGGCAGGCATGCCTTTCCCTAACATGCCCCCCCTCGCTGAAGTCGATGTCCTCATCGACCGTTCTTCTTCTACTACTACTAGTGAACTAGCGCGATGTGACTTTCCATATCGAACGACATCTTTGAACTGCTCTGATGCAGCTCTACATGAGCACACATTGAAATTGTAAGACTCTGCATCTCTGTCAGGTTTTCTTCGAAAGGTTCCATCTTTACCTTACTTTCTTCCCTCCTGTGTTCTCTTCTGCATTTCTTGTCCTCAGTGCTCGCACCCGTGGGGAAGATCAGTGCCAGTTTTTGATCTTGCTTTGTGCGGAGGCTATTTGCTTCCCCTCTCCTATTCAGCCATCTCTTTCTTTCTAGTTCAGCTAAAATTTATCCCTGATCCTTAACTCTCACCACGGCTGACCTGCGCGGCGATACACATCCACGCTTTATTACCGTCATACTTTTCACTTCTACTCTGTCCATTCGCTGCTCGCTACTTCTCTCATTGTCCGCGACTACGGAAAGAACCACACCTAACTTACTCAGGGCATTAGTACCTAGAATAATTTCGCCGCCTTGACTTGAACTAATGTGAAACGGTACAAATCCTCGATTTCCTCCTTCTAGCTCCGTCTCAATATGCACTGCTCCGAGAAAATCTCGTCCTTCTGTCGGATGCATCGAAAACAGGCGCTAGCTGGGACTTCTCAGTCAGCTTCAGTGCGTCAACGTCAATTCCCCTATTTTGCGCTTCAGCTAGAATTTCCACTGGAATTACACTAACCATCGACCCTGTGTCGATCAATGCTGGATTCTTGCTACCCAGTAGGGTCACCTGTTTCACAACTCGGCCACCTACTAGATCACATAGGTTCCCTTCTTCTCGTCTAACTGTCATCCCCAGACTGCGAGCCTGCTTTATGATCTCTGACAGGGTAAGTTTCTCAGCGTCTTCCTGTTCCTTGCTTGACACGATTCACTCTTATCGATTGCTGAGGACAGTGTCTGGCTATATGGCCATATTTCAGACACTTGAAACACTTTCTTTTCTCGGTATCCGCTAGCGGAGACCTAGGCGGGATGTGCTGCATTTGTCTTTGGCTTCGCTGCCAAAATTTAAATCTTCGTGGTAGTTGTCTCGCCCGTACATTTCCTCTGCCCTATCCATTTTCCCTGTCATGTACTCCTCTCCCTTGTGAGAGAAGGTGTCCTCCTTTGCTATACTTATCTCTTGACAGTTTCGATATTGTGTGGCCCTCCTTCTCCACTGGTCAACACTTGATCTCCTACCTACCCCGAACATGACCTTAGACTGTTCTATGCTCAGCGCCAGTTGCTTCACTTCCTCATATGCCTTACGAGGGTCCACTCTGTGTAAAGCTCCTACCAGTTGGAAGTGCTCCGGCCAATCACTGAGATTATCCAGCAGGATCTGAGCGTATTCCAACGAGCGATCCTCAATGGTGCAATCTGGGTTGGCCTGTCTTCCCAGGTTTTCCAACACAACAGAGCAGAAAAATCGGCTACCTCTTGGCCAGATCTCATTCTCAAGCTCCTCAGTTCAGTGAGGGCTCTCATCCTTCCTGCTGTCGACTCTTGCGACAGTAGTCTGGTCATTTCCCCAATGACCACGTCCAAACCTCGTTCCTTGGTTACTCTTGGGAGGGCCATGAAAATGTTCTTCGCTCGACCACCTAGATGGTCGTCACCAAGGATCTCTAGTAGGGTGGCATCGCATCCAATAACCTCGTATTTTCTCTTAAATCTCCTCACAAATTCTTCGAAATTCTCATGTTTTAAACCTTTGAATACTCCAGGATCTCTGCGCACGCCATAGACCTAAGATATCTCAAAACTGACACACTTGGATATTCCAGTGTTGGCGTGTTTGCAGTCGCAAACTCCTGACCCATCCGAGGCATCGTCTGGTATCGGGTTGTTTGACCCACCTCCTTCGTTCGGCACCGTTGGTTGGCTCACCGAACCTTGGAAGAATATTGACTTCCGCTGTTCCAGGAGGGCCATGACCGCTCTCTTCACCTGCGACACATCAGTGTCTAGTAATTCACAAATTTCTGTCATAACGTCTCCATCTTGTTCCATAGTCTTGATATACTCTCTCCAATCATCAGCGCTCTCAATTCCCCTTCGACATAGGGTCTCCATAATCTCTTTCTCCAGTAGCGGGTGCATCAGCTTTTTCCCTTGACTTCTCCTTAATTCTCCTATGTCCTCCAGAACTTTCGTCCATACTTGATCCATCTCTGCTTTGGCTTGATTTGATACCCTTGACTTCCCAAGGATCTCGTTTGCTCTCCGCTGGGCCTCACCCAAAATTCGTAGACAAAGGTCCCACTCTTGCTCTACAGCCTCACCACTGTTTCTCCTACTCGCAGAGCCTAATTGTTCCATAAAAACTTTATTCTCATCATTCACTGCAGTTTCGTTCGCCATCTTTCTCCTGATCCTGACTGTTCGCCTGCCTTCTTACGAACACCTTGTCAAGGCCACGAAGCGCGAACGTTTCCTACTTCCAGTTGCTTTCACTGCTATCGGCTCCTCTTGCCTTCGGAGTCGACCCTTGAATCAATTCCTCCTTTTGGGGCACTGAACTCGCCTTGCTCGCTCAGTTACTGGTCACTCGTATGTCGCAGCCGGTTCGGCCCCCATGTAAGGTTAGATAACCTGGATTCGTGCGGTGCGAACGAAGTAGTGACCTTTACTGTGCGTGAAAGACAAGCCGGAACTTATAAGGTTTATTGAAATGTTGAAAATAATGAACAGAATGTTTGGAAAGATCACTGGAATCGGAGCCGCGGAGGCGAGTCGTAGTGTTGGCAAACTCGAGGGCGTGAATAGAAGACCACAGTCGGGTGCACGGCGCGAACTATTCCTTGACACAAGCCACAAAGGCTTCCTACGTTGAGCCACTGAGGCTCTTTCAACTCACTGCCACTAAGGCTTCTTCCAACCAGCCACTTAGGCTCCTTATAATCTGCCACTTAGGCTCAATTCCTTCAGCCACTAAGGCTATCTCTCGCTCTCCTCTATCGAGCTTTGGCCCTCCTTCTTACGGGCCCCTGCGGCTCCTAACCGCACTTACCACTCTGGCTCCTGAACCCCTTTTATAGGTGCATTCCCGCCCGAACCGTTTCCCTCTGGCAAGGTGGTCTCCTATGACCCCGCGCGATCGACAACCACAGCCTGCTCCTCGACCTACCGTGCTCAAACCAGCTGATCATAGCTGGCGTCTCAAGGCAGGCATGCCTTTCCCTAACAAACCCCCCTCGCTGAAAAACGGACCCATGCAGATAATCCAAGATTTCACCTGCGGAGAACCACAGTGTTTTTGGGAGTGATCATTTTGTACTCCTACTGACTAGTATAGGGCGCCATTCGTTGCGGGACCCACTGCCTTAACCCGCGGGGATCCCATGTGATCGCGGTTGAATTCGAACATTCCAGCTTCTCACGCATGTCAAGTGTCTGCCCTCACCCCCCACCCCCCTAGACTGGCGACACTGCCCCTGGCTCACGGATTCCCCGCTCCACATTGAAGGGTTCACTGTAGCAGGAGGCAGTGGGACCCGTAACGAATGGCGTCCTTTACTAGTCAGAAGGAGTACAAAACGATGCGTTCCAGCTTGAACTCGGTCCTTTAAATGCCTTCGCGCCTGCGCTCTCTCGCCTGAACAGCGGCTTAATGGTTACTGTGATCTGATGCATTCAAATTTTGCCACAATATGATTGACACACCCACTCCAGAGCCCCTCTCCCTCCAAAGCTTAGTCCTAGGCTCACAACTTCTGCTTGAGATTTGGAGCGGAGCCAGGCGCCGTTCTCTAATCGTCTGTGCTCTGGCGTTTCGCGGCAGAGAACACAGGGGCGAGTTCAAGTAGTCACGTAATCGAGTACAAAACGATGCGTTCTGTTCTTGGTCGTGTCAGTAGAGGGCCGATTTGCCGATGTCAGGCTTGCGATTGGAGCGATTTTGCACCAATTGCAGGAGCGACGGATCGCTCCAAAGTGCGAGCGACGGGAGATTTACCCGAGCGGCGCCGTGTGTATCGGTCGTCGGCGGGGTAAATCTCCCGTCGCTCGCACTTTGGAGCGATCCGTCGCTCCTGCAATTGGTGCAAAATCGCTCCAATCGCAAAGTCTGACATCGGCCAATTGCTTGGCGCCCATTCTGCTCTATGGTGGTCCTGTGAGGGTAGAGCGGATCTAAGTTGAAGCCCAGCAGAAATTCGGAATTGGGACTGAAAGACCTAACGTTAAATCAGCAACGTTATCGTGCATTTTTGGAGAAATCATTTACTGTACCAGGCACGGAACGAAAGGAAAACCCTACATATTTTTTCCTGCATCAAAGAAAACATCTCATTTTTTCACGAAGGCAGCATCACCAAGTGTCTAGATGTTCTGCAAAACATCAGGATATGACCTTCCTTGAAATAGCGCTTTAAAACCATGGACGAACTTGATGATGATTAGCTGTGTTACCACCTGCACTACGCATGCAGACCGTTGATCGGCCATGAAGGGCTGTGGGAACGATGTAAGGCTATCATTCGCGCAATCGCCAATGGTTTTTATTCCTTCCTGGATTAGTAATATCGATTGAAACTAATTTATAAATATTCTGTCTAAATGTATAAATTTTGTCTTTACCCTTTGGATGGCAATTGTGGCATAGCATGCCAATCACTACAGGCGAATCAGCACTCTTGTGAGCTCCATAACAACATGGGTGCGCCTTCGACTACTACTGAGCAAGAGAGCCTACTCATACTTTTGACCTTCACCATGTCTCCTTTCCTGCATTCTGATGGAGAAGTACAAGCAACATCATCACCTTGACACCTGTGAAAAAGTTTCGAAGCTTACAGACGCCTAAACTCAAGGCGGAAATAGCTGGTCATTGGTGGCACCACCGAACCTCTTACTATGACAACTCGTCGAGGGAATCCTAATTCGCTTGCATCTCTAGTAGTTCTAGTTCAGATTCACGCGCCGAGGCGTTGGTGGTGCAACGTCTATAGTTTCGGAGGTAGAGGCCACTAAAGCTCATCAGATTTCATGAGCCTAAAGTGTTGGTTTTGCATGAGGTTCGAACCATTTTGACTTTGAGTCCTAGTCTTTTAAATGTCTGAGGGCTATCTCTAAAGTGTCTGATATGACGCAATGAATTTTTTTGCAGAAAGTAGGCGTGTTACAATGTCGGCGATTTCTTAGCCTTGTTGCGAACGGTATATTTGGGCTACAGCAACGGCCGCGAGCTTTCTTAGTTCTGTCCCTGGGTGACAGGTGGCAGCTTTCCTGGTCCGGTTCGTAAGGCGTTTGTGTACTCCATAATCGTTTTAGGGGTCAGAATGCCGACCGGGAAATGCTTTTTTGGTGCAATACCCGATAAGAGAGATAGCAAATGACTAGCAAGTACTGCAGTTCGCAAAAACAAGCTGGATGAAGCCAAACCGCAAACAGTTCACAAATCCGCTAGCGACCGCACTCGTTGTAACAGGCGTCCACCATGGATAAAGTAAGAACGAATGGAATTGGTATCCAAATTCTCCAAAGACTTAATTGACCAAGGAAAATTTTTGCCAATGATGCGATTAATTTTCGTTGTGGGCAGGGAATGTATCCGTTTCTCGTTCGTACATCAGAAGTCCTTTCCTCATTTTTTTTAACAATCTCAAGTTATATTTAGGTGACCATATCAATTGGAGAAGATGTTAGAGAACAGAATCGCTTGCTAAATAGCATGGACGACGACTTTGACTCTTCAAAAGGATTGTTGTCTTCAACAATGAAACGCCTTGGTATTGTTAGCAAGGCCGGAGGTCGGTCAATATCGCCTTATCTTACTTTTTTCCAATCTTCATAGGTGAAAATTTAGTCGAAGTGTGGGGGGGGACACTCATAATGTCTAGTCGAAGTGACAATATCTAATCAGAAGTGGAGTTGCGGAAGGGCGGTCATATCTAATCAACATTCAGAGCACAGGCTCTGAGTGTACGATTAGATAGGATACCAACCGGGATTCCGTACAAAATCGGATACCTGAAATGCCCTTTCTCCGAAGGCTAGCATGGCAATCACAAGATTTGGTAAAACTGAAAAGAAAGAAAAAACTTACCGCAACTCTGCTTTGATTAGATATTAGTGCCTTATTACAACTTTACTCAGTTGGATGTTATTGCCCCCTAACTACATTTTCACCATCTTCATATATTTGACCGATTTTTTTCTGTAATGTCTTGGTTTTCTTTGTGCCTAACGTTTTTGTGAGGTGGGACTGCTATGAATTTGCAAAGTTTGCACTTATTTGTCATTGGAAGTTCCGATCTTTCAGTCGTCTTATAATATGTAGAAGTCAACTTACGAATTTCTTTATTTGGCGATTTCTGTCGAGTAATAGCTTCTGATCAGAAAATGTTTCTCATCAGTGACCTCCGTTTTTCGTTCTAAATATTCACATTCCAGGCAAGAACCTGATGTGTTACTTGGTGCTGTTCGCTCTGTTCGTCTTCTTCGTTATATATTACTTGGCAAGATGAATGCGCACGCAAATTTTCCACTTAAGGACCGAGTTCATCCACTGATAGCATTGTGAGAGTCTTATTGTAGAGAAATCTGTCATGAAGGTCAGCACTCGTGTTCATTTTTTTCGGTTCCCGGGAGCTTTTCTATTGACTGTGATTTAACTGATTATTGGAAACAATTGGTGATAGCGATGTGAGACATTCTATGTAATCTTATAAAATTCACCCCTTGGTTATTCGATTATTATGGTGCCAGTAGAGCGATAGTATCATGGCAAACCTTTGTAAATGAATACAATTGTGATAGCATGGTGTTGCTTTTTTATCTTGTTCGTTATATTATAAAGTTTTCTGGCTGTTCTTTTGTTGTTTTATAAATCTTATGCACCAACGGCCTCTTGAAACAGGTTACAAGGCTTCTGTCAACCAAGGGGTGAGAGTGTAGAAGGAAAAGCAGACGTTTTTGTGGTAGTGGGACTAAGCCTTTTAAAGGAGGTAAAGAAAGCGGAGATTCTGTAATAGTGCGCTTGTGTGAGAGCTCCCAGACAGCACAACAAAACGCTGAATTGCCTAGCCTCACGGTTGACAGATGTCCGCAGACCTTAAAACACCTATGCTCTGCTGCTTGGCATGGGCAGTAGATGGGGTAGTTGATCTGTGTTTGACTGTTTTCGTGCTTCTGAACGCTCTCAGTTGTCTGTTCACCATCTAATCAGGAAAGGTTTCAAGTTTTCCCATAGAACTTTGAGTGAGACACAGCTTAAAGATACAGGTCTTGTATGATTGTTACAAGTGCGAAGAGCCAAACAGTCGCGAACATGCCAAGGAAATCGAATTAGTCTAAGCTTTCGACTCCCGCTAAAGGCAGATTTGCATTCCAGCAAGGCGCCGCTCAGATTAGTGTAGTTGGCGTAAGCGCGAAACATTGCATTTCGTAATAAGGGCTATCAGTATCCTTTGCAATTACGCTTTATCAAATAAACATATCCTAATACCAACGCGGCAGTACCAGCCAACCGTGATCGCTCACAGTCTCCAGGGCATCTTCGCGTAGCACTTTTTTCATATTTGTGTCTGGATTCCAGGCTCCATCGGTTTACCTAGTCTCAATTCAAAGTTCCATGAAAAGGTTGAAACAACTTTCCTGGCCAGATGCCGGCAAGCGATTGAGTTTCAAACGTTGAGCATTGACTATTGGATGATTTCACGCCGACAGCTTATGGGTTTCGGCGGTGAAAGTGGGTCGACAAAGCGAATCCCTGTTGACCATGCTGCACCTGCCTTTCTTAGACACACCTATAGGGGAGGGGCAAAGAACGATGGCACATTCAAAACGGAATAATTTACCTTGCTTTGAATTCAAACTAAATGATCTAAGTTGGAAATTGAAGAGCACTTTCCATTCTATCAAATAAAAAACTTTACAATATTTCATAAGAGCTGCTTACTTCTTCACAAGGTTGATGTGATGGATGAGCTCTTCCCGCCTCTAACAAGAGAGGTCTTCTGGAATAATTTAACTTTGCTCCATGAAAGTTCCATCGACAAGCCGCGCTTTTTGGATATTGGTTTCGTACATGCTTGTAGTACACAGGTGTATGGACCACAAAACCATGTTTCTTTTTCGCTGAACGGTTTGAGTAGTATCAAAAAAGTGATGAATGATACCATTTCTGGTTCGATCCCTCAAAAGTGCGGGAAGATAATAAGCATGCGCCACACCGAGCAATTACCCTATTTTCCGGTGTATAAGCCCCCGCTAGTATCATGTAAAAACACCTCCACTGGTGCAGTGTACTTGAGTACATCTAGAGTCAACCGTAACATGCCCATAGGGGTAATTCGATATGCTGATCACGAAAACGACATTCGTTTTTAGCGGTGGCGGCATCTGGCGCCAGTTGGCGCCACCTTGTCACGACCCTTGTTTTCGCCAAAATCGGTGTAAACTTCAGTATAGGGGTTATTTGGGACCCTGATTACGAATATGACATTCGTTTTTGGCGTTAACGTTGTTTAGTGCACATGTCTCGGTTGGAGAGCGCAGACGAGCAGAAAATAGGCGTCAAACAGCGCCAGCGCCTATAATGAATGTCATATTCGTAATCAGGGTCCCAAATAACCCCTATACTGAAGTTTACACCGATTTTGACGAAAACAAGGGTCGTGACAAGGTGGCGCCAACTGGCGCCAGATGGCGCCAGCGCTGAAAATGAAAGTCATTTTCGTGATCAGGGCATCGACTTACCTCTATAGGCAAATTTGCGGTGGTTTCTAAGGTGTACAAAGTTACACTGCACGAGCGGGGGTGGTTTTACGTGAAATCGGCGCGGGCTTATACACCGGAAATTAGGGTACTTGTTGCCAAGGAAGCAATGCTTGGCCCTCCCACGGCGAAGGTGCTGTGGTTGCTGAGGGATCTTTGATTTGTCGGTGGCAGACCAAGTTTCCATTAGCATACACCTGCTTGGCAGAAACGTAATGTGGAGCGATGCGGCAAGGATTGAAGGGTTCCACCAAGTCACTGTGGGAGACGCTTTGTTTGAATTTTTGCGGGCCTTTATTAGAAGGGCCGGTCAGTTCATATTCTGGCGACGAGAAGAGTGAAGATTGAAATTAGATGTAAGTTTTACTCCGAATTCGGCCTTCCCGGAGTGATTGGTGTCATCGACGGCGGAGGCGAGTGGCCTGCCACTAAGAAGGCTATGTGTGTCAAAAAGGGTACCACAGACCCATTGTAGGGGTTGGAGTCGATTTCAATGTGAGAATTAGATGGATAAGCTCGAAATGGCCAGGATCAGCGCACCAATCACGCGCATTCAAAACGTCACTCCTGTACGACTAATTGAAGAAGGGAGAGCTTCAAGGAGTTCTCTTGGGGGATAACTATTTTGGCCACAGCTCTTTTCTACAGAGGAGAGGTACAACCGAGCTGTTTGCTCCGCGCACACTCGACTCGCACAGGCTCTTGGAGCGCTCGAGCGGCAATTCCATATTTTGCATGGGGAGAGCGTAATACTGGCTAGTTCGTCGCTTCCCATAGGTAATCATTGTATATGTTCTGTTAAAGCTACTCCCAAGTAAAGCAGCTGAAATAGTGCTGACCTGCTTCGGAGCATAGCGATAGGTGCCAGTGAACTTAGATTATGACGAGCACGCAGGGAGCCTCGGCAGGGTGGTGAGGTTCCATGTGAGCCATCAATCCAGGCTCCCGACAACGATGCGATTGCTTTTATGCAGAACATAAACGTTTTTGTTTTGAGGTTATTTAATCAGCTCATCGATTAATGCATTGTAAGCGAGGACGTCGCGACAGATAGCGATCGTTTTTATTATGGTTCTCCCTCATCCACCTCCGTGGATCTAAACGAGTTATCTGGGATCTGTACGGATATTGGCAAGTAAGTCAAATGATACGGACGATGACCTCTGTGTGTTCTTATGCTATGATTTATCACTCATTCATTCAGTGGATTTTGTTGGTAAGGTCGAATACATTAGTCTGCTCATTAATTTCACTTTTATTGCCATTTAGTTTATGTCAAGATAAACAAATAAAGATGCATGAAGAACATGAGCACTATCCGTGAGTTCGGTGGGAGCACTTCGATAAAAGAGGATTAATCACAGTTCGCTGTACACGAAGACACAATAAACATCACTGTCTACGAAAAAATCAGGGGTGCAGATCAATAGCGAAATGAAGTGATACATTTTAAAATTTACTGCGAATAACTGCGTGGGTTCTTCTTGGACAAAAATCTGCATGTCACTTGAAAGGAATTTCTGCAGAAGCTGTTCCTTTGAGCTCAAATTGTAGACCTCCATAGTCACGATTTCCTTCTTTGATTGACCCCGCTTCTGCTAGAGTGTGGCTGGCCGAGATGTTGATGGCTGCGCCGCCGTGTCTTCCAAACATGTGCTCTGTGAAATTATGACTGCATTCAGTTCAAGCTAAGATAAAAATATTACCTCCATGGTTGGGTTTTGTCCCAACTCTCCCTTCACCCCTGAGATTTTGGGTCTTTCTTGTATCAATTCGAACGCCCGCTTTTGGGCTGCACTCGGTCGCAGCAATGATGCCATTTCATCGCCAGCAGTTCCAAGCATTCCAGCGGTCTCAAACATACATAAATAATAACTATAAGCAAATGGTCAAGTAGGACAGCCAGCCTTGAAGCATCCAAACCAATGCAGTCCCATATTTTCATGACGTCATTCTCATCACGGATCTTTTGGTCGTTTTGTTTTTCCAGTTCGTTTTGTGACCCCCAACGCATTGACGTCCTCAGTAAGTCGACTAATGGATCCCTCCTCAGTCTAAAATACTTGAATCACATGTTTTTATGCGACCACCAGTACGTCGCCTAAAGGTAAGCGCTTCCTCGATCCTCCGATGGTAGCATAGTGATAAACATCGTAATTTTTTGCTCTCCATTATCAACTCGGGCTCCCTCTCCGAAAATGGGTAAATCGCAGCACTCTGAAGAAAAAAGTTTGATGCGAGCAGTACCGTGGGGCATAACGTAGTCTTTTATACCAACAGGAGAAGATTCACCACTTCCCTCTGCGGCAACACTTTCTGCGCCTCCCGCTGACTCCGGTGGTTCATTAAGATCGAAGAAGTAGGCCATTTCCTGCAACACATCCTTGCGAATAACAATAGTCATACGCAGTGTATACCGTATCACCTATAATGTTCAGAAGAAAATTTAGAAAGAATGTGTGTTACAAGAATGTAACTTTCCGGAGGGTTAACCAAACCTTTACCGTAACCCCTTGGCGTCAAATAGACTTATTGTGCAGATGAAGTGTGACACCACTGCAATTCCGACTCTAAATTGATTTCCGAATTGCGCAGCGGGATACAAACAATTTCACGCGGCAAGACTTTCACAGTTAATCGGTGAAACTGCTGAAGTGGAAGAGAAGGAGGTCATAAGGCGTGATATTCATTAGTGATTTTCGATAGATATTGTTAAGCCAGTTTTAATATCCTCATTTCGATGCGATTG